GCCAGTAGTGGAATTAACCACTCGGTTGTAGCCTGGGAAAAAAGGTGTGGCCATGAAAGATCAGCTTATCCTGTTTTGCGGAATTTTAAATTCGGAACTGTAAACAGAAGAACCAAAGTCCTTGTATTTTATATTTTAAAGCTTGTTTACTTAATAAGGCAGAAAGACATATAATTTTTCATTGATTCAATAATCAATTACAGTAGGTAGGGTTATGAAAGATAGTATTGGCTGTTGACGCTCAAGTATAGCAAAGTCACTGTAATGACTGTATCAAAAATCACAACTTCTTCATACGCAGTAGGCAAACATTATTTCTCTGAAACTGGAACACTGGTAATAGTGGGTGTTGAATCAAAGGACCAAAGTTGAATCTTTAGCAGTTACCTTGTTACATTCATCTCGCTTAGATATAAATTCTCCAATTCAGCTCAATTTAATTAGGCTTATAATGTCTACAAATCATTTCAATATTGGCTAACAAGCACAAGCAACCTTCACCCGATCAAAACAACCAATTTATAATCAAGATTGTCATTCCACAGGTCAACTTGATGCTAGCTAACAAGCATAAGCATTTGTAACTGAACTAAAGCAATACATTAAGCGATAATATATTTTTGATCACAACACTCCCGATGCTTCAGATGAGATGTTAAACCAAGATCCTGTTTGTCTGTTCAGGATGATGTTAAAGATCCCATGGCACTTTTTGAAAACAGGAAGTACTATCTCTTGAGGTCCTGGCCAACAATTATCCAAATAAAATTGGCCATTCACTTCATGCTTGTGGGACATTGCTGTGTACACAGTCATTACACTTTACAATATATCCTATGAAGCACTTTGAGTCACTTCAACAATGTGACATGTTGCTATATGAAATGCATATATAAAACAAAATCTGGTTAGGTGTCACTTACAACACATTTACTTGATTTCACATTTTGACCTTTTTATTGTTTTGAACTTTGAAGCTGTCATCTAGGTTTATCAGTGCCGCACATAGAGATTGTGAAGCATGAATGAGAGGTATCACATGGCAGAAATAAAACACTGAGAGGCATCACGCAGAGAAGCACATTACAAGTAAAAGAAATAGTGGGAGAAAAAACATATAGGTAAGTTAGCTTTTCTAAGGCGACATGGAGAGTGGGGGAGGGGGAAGTAAATGAAATAAATGGTGCTGTTCATAATATTCACACTAATTTGTGTCCTTATTTGAGTTAACAAATTATTATTTTCTTGATAAATTTAGGTCTCTATAGAATTGAATGCAATTTCTCCAATAAAATCAGAATGGAATGCAACTTTGCCAATAAAATAAAGAATTATGTTATGTAGGCCTCTTGTATTATACTTTGACTAATTGTAGGTTCATAGAAATGCACCTTAGAAGCGATTATTTGGTCCACTGAGTTTAAAATGGTGCTCTCCTATTCACTAGAAGTCTAATCCCATTCATAATAGTAATCCTTACTTCCCTGTTCCTTTTCTCCTATCTCTTTATGTTGGTTTACTTCAAATGATTAAATAATCTCTTCTAAATGTAACAGCAAGTGACTCGAAATTCAGCTGTGCAAAACATCACCTACCCTTGTTAACAATTTACCAACCAGTAGGAATAATGTTCCACTTTTACAACTTCGCTGTTCCAGTGAAAACCAACCCAATATTTTATCTAACCCTTGTCCCATCCCTTCCCACCTACATCTGCGACTCTTCTGACACCCTCCACCACTTTAACCAATTCCAGTTTCCTGACCCTAACTATCTCCTTTTTACGATGGACATTCAATCCCTCTACACCTCCAGCCCCCACCAGGCTGGCCTGCAGCCCCTTCACTTCTTCCTGGAACAGTGGCCCAACCAATCTCCATCCACCACCAGCCTCCTCCACCTCACTGAACTTGTTCTCATTTTGAACAACTTTTCTTTCAACTCTACTCACTTCCTCTAAATAAGAGGTGTCGCTATAGGAATCTACATAGATCCTAGCTATGCCTGCCTTTTTGTAGGATACTTTGAGCAATCTTTATTCCAGTCCTTTTCAGGTCTCCTCCCTGACCTATTCTTCTGGTACATTGTTGATGCTGCTTCCTGCTCTTACCTTCAGTTGGAAAATTTCATTAATTTTACTTCCAACTTTCACCCCTCCCTTACCTTCACATGGTCTATCTCTGACTCTTCCCTTCCCTGATGTCTCTATCTCCATCTCAGGGCATTGACTATCCATTGATATTTACTACAAGCCCAGCAACTCCCACATCTACCTCAAATACACTTCTTCTCACCTGGCTTCCTGTAAGGACTCCATTCCCTTCTCCCAGTTTCTCCGCCTCCGCCACACACGCTCTGACAATTCCACCTTCCACACCAGAGTTTCTGAAATATCCTCCTTTTTCCTCAGCCAAGGTTTCCCCTCCCCCGAGGTAGACAGGGCCCTTGACCGTGTCCATCCTATTTCCCGCACCTTTGTCCTCACCCCTTCCCTTCACCCCCAGAACTGTGATAGGGTGCCCCTAGTCCTCCAGCGTGATCCCACCACAAAACACATTTTTCCATCCCCTCTCCTCTTCACATTCCTCCGCCTCAACTATCCTTTCTACCCCACATCTGCGCCATGACATGCTCTGCCTTCCTCCACCTCCGCAACATCGCCTGGCTCCGCCACTGTCTCACACTGCAGGATGCCGCAAACCTCATACACTCCTTCATTACATCGAGGCTCGACCATGCAAACTCCCTGCTTGTCGGCCTCCCCAACTCCTCCCTCCACAGGCTGCAGATCATCCAGAACTCTGCAACCCATGTCCTCTCCTACACTAGGCTCCACGATCCTAACTTTGGCCTCATTAATATCTTGTATATTTTGCATCATGTTCTGACTTTTGTATTCAGTGTCCATATATGAACCTAAATTGCAGTTTTTGTGGCATGTTCTATCTGCACTATGTCTTTAAACGTCTTTGTACCTACTCCTCTAGAACTGATTTATCCTCAACATCAATGAGCAATAGACTATTTAGAATCTTTGTTCTTTTTCTGAGAATGTACTTCACATTTCTCAACATTAAACTGCATCCACTATCTTTCTGCATGCATTGCAAAATGGTCTATGTCAGTATTTCTCAAACCATTGACAGCAATGACCATGGAATCATAGAACCATGGAAAATTATAGCACAGAAGAAGGCAATTTGGCCCATCATGTCTGCTGGCACTTTTAAAAAGCAATCTTTCAGTCCCATTTACCTGCCTTTTCTCCATACTTTCCCAGCTCAGTTTCTTGATAAAACGTATTGGAGCATTACTAATTGAGCTCGCCATGAAGTTATAACACGGAACAAGATCAAAGTTATCCTGCTTGGCTCCCACCAATGTCTCCTTACTTCTGGCTCTGACCAATTCTACCTTCCCAGTCCCTTTCTCAAACTCAGCCAACCAGTGCACAACCATGGTGTCAAATTCAGTCCTTAGCTCTCCTTGCTCGCTTACATATGGTTTCTACTTTTTTTAAATCTCTGCTACACCACTCGCTTGCATCCCTACCACACTTTAGATCTCTTCGGAACCCTTATCTACGCCTTCGTCACCTCCGGGCTGGATTTTTCCAATACATTCCTCACTGGTCTGCCTAACTCCATAGTCCATAAACTTAAATTTATTCAAAACTCCACCACCCACGTCCCCATCCACACCAAAGTCCATATGTCTATGACCCCATTTCTTGTCAGGCTCCACTGGTTCTCTGTTTTGCAGCAGATCGATTTCAAGATCCTCACCATCACTTACAAATCCTCTTTGCCTCTCCAATCTTTTCCTACCCCAATCCTTTGGTCGTTGACATGGGTTTGACGTGCACCCCTCCCCCTACCCACATCACTGTTAACTAAGCTTTCCACTTCTACACCCTAACCTTTGGACTCCCTCCCTTGACCCTTCCATCTTGCTCCCTCTCTGTTTTCAAAGTCTCACCTGAAACTTACCTTTTTTACCAGTCATGTTACTACAATGGTGCAAGTGGTACAGTCATGTCAGGGCCCACGAGGTGATGGGGGCCCAACCCAGTGGAGACGCATGTTCTCTCACACCTGGTTTTGATAGAGCTGAATCGCACATGCACTTCACAGGGCAAACATTTGCGCGCTACCTCGTGTGAAGGGCATTATATAAATGCAAGCTGTTGTTGAGAGAGAGAACATGAGGGGGCGGAGAAGGAAACCAAAGTTTTAGATTCTTGCTCCAGGGCCTTGTTAGGCCACTATTTTTGACCCTATCTCTAGTGACCACCCCGTTCCCCCCTCCCTCCTGCTTGGTGTCCATCCCACCATTGCCCAGCGCTCGGAGACATTCTCCTATGTGAAAGGCACTATATAAATGTAAGCGGTTGTTTTCTTGGATTGACCCTGGTCCTCACACTGAGGGATTGAGATACACTGGTGGATGCCATCTCGCAGAGTCTCCTGCATTCCACATCAGGCTGCTGTACCCCGCAATTTGCCACCGTCAGCAATGGTAAGACATTATTTTCCTTATGTAGGTTTCCAAATCATTAAAACGGATGCCTGATTTATTTAGATCCATCCCTTTAGCCATGCCCCAAGCGGCTCAGACTAATCGATTCCCCCCCCCCCCCCCCACAGCCCTGATGTTGGGTGTGTGCCTGGCTGGGGGGGGGGGGGGGGGTTCGGGCATCACCACGGACGGATCTCTGCTTCTGGTGAAGGGGTATCGCTGTGCGATGATGAGAAGAGGCAGTGGTGGCCCTGTTAGGATGGAGGTGTCCTCGGGCGGGGACCAGTGATGTGGTGGAGGCTGAGCAGGGAGGGAGCTGCAGTGAGTGCTGGATGGCGTGTGGGCTCTGTCAGTACTGACGTGTTGGGTTGCAAATCCCCCCCTCAGTTTGCCTGCACCTCGCCCTGTGGTTGCCACTGCTCTGCCTGCGTGCGCTGCTCTCTCCCCCCCTCTCTCCCCCCACCCCCCCCCCCCCCCCACCCCGACAAGACGGGCAGACAGGACCATTGAGGTCAGGGACGGCCACAGGACATGGAGTTCGGGGTCGGGAACGGTGCGGTCCCTGGAGTCGACGAGGACCCGGCAGCCGCTTTCCTGGCGCAGCATCAGGATCAGATCGAGGGGATCGAGGGCGAGGAGGGTCTGGAGGAGCCCCTCCACAGCCTGGGCACCGGAGGTGAGCACCGCTGGCACTGCCCGCCTCCTGCCTCCCTCCATCCCTCCCTCCCTCCCCCTCCATCCCTCCATCCCTCCATCCCTCGCTGGGGTGGGCAGCATTGTCTGCTCCTCTGATCCCTGATGTGATGGCACCTTCCCTGTGCGGCCCGGGATGATCCGTGTCGCAGTGAGACAGGTGTCCAGGAGACAGTGCATCGGGGAAATGCATATATATATATATATATTATATATATATATAGAGAGAGAGAGCTCCGAAGCCATGGGTTTCCCCGGGGACAGCCGGAGCCCTTTGCGCAGTGTGTCCGCGACTCCACAATCTCATCAGCGCGGATTAATGTGGCGATTAATCGCCAGAAGCGATTGCATTCAATGATGACACACACAGGAGGGGAAAAAAAACCCTAAGGGACCCCCAATGGCGCACCAATTGTGATGCAAAGATAAACGATCAGCATCCGACACACCGGCATTTTTTCTCGTTGGTGGTTTTGCAGTACAATTTACATTGATACGGAGAGGAGTGCGACAACCAGATGGCTGCCCCTGAGCCACATAGTGACAGATGTTCTGGTGAGCTTATCACTTGAGTCTGCATCACATGCTGCACAGAAAAGCAGGTCAGATTCCAGGTGATCAGAATGTGCAGCTGTCACCTTCAGGCTCCTGAGGCTGGCGATGGCTTCCTCTACATTTTTACAAAGATCTTTAAATTTCATCAGATTTTAGGGTTAGGGTTGCAGTACCGGAGATTGTTTTGGCAGTATCGGAGATTGAACCGATCTGTTCCTTTAGTTTCGATGCTGACGGTTTGGTAAATGTTTGAACTTCTTGCAGCCCTGATCTGTTAAATGTTTCATTTTAATCCTTACGTTTGATATAAGAGCGTTTTTCACATTTTGGGGGACGTTTCAAAGCCCTTCAAAGGATATACAGTAATGGGCATAGTTTGAAGCCTAGCATAGCAGCCAATTTGCATCCAGAAAGGCCCCACAAACAGGCATGAAGTGAATGACCAATTTGATGTGAGGAATTGTTGGGCAGTGGATGGGGCAGATGGGGGAGTAATCCAAGCCGAGAGGATGGCAAGAGAAAGGGTTGGGCAGAAGATCAGAGAAATATGGTTATGGCTTACCATGAGGGCTTGAAATTGATCCATAGGGAGATATGGAGCCAATGGATGAGGACTGAGGTGATTGGTTGTGTAGAGTTTTGTGTTGGTGAAGATGCTGGTGGTGGAATTGGAATTTATGGATTGTTGTGTTGTTAATTTAGTCTAACATTAGGACAGAGGTCTTGTTGTATGACCAAGTATTATATTTCCCAAGTGACAGAATTAACTGGGAACTTGTATAGATTATCATAGAGATTTGATAGGACCCAGGCCCAAAGGAAGGCTGAAACAATAAATGTCCACTTTATATCTCTTTACTTATTGCCTAAATATGCACATTAGTCATTAATGATGTGCATGTTTGGCGCGTATATAAAGGTCTTGGCATGCGCGTTTTGTTGCTGACCCTCCCAAAATGCTCCTGCTTCTACTTCCTACCTTTTGCTACCCACACTCAGTTCTTCTCTCCTCCTCAACCCTCTCCCATCTTCTCTCCCTTCTGGACCCTTCCACAGCTTCGCTCTGCTCCAGCCTGGGAATCCTTCGGGTTGTTCCAGCCCACTGCTGGTTGTATCAGAGCAGCCACCCTGACTGCCCCAACCCCCACTTTCTCCGCAAGACCTGCCTCCCCCTGCCCCCGACAGGCAATCCTTCCCTCACCCACATCCTTCCCAACTCCGCCCTCATTCTCGACAGTCATTCTCCCCCCACAATGTACAACCCTCCCAAACCCATCCCCCCTACATCCTCCCTCACCAGCACCCTTATTCACATTGCCATCCAAAATAACATTGCCCTCTCTAACAAAACTCTCACTATCTTAAGCACTCTGAGACGCTACTCTGTGCAAAGGGCACTAAATAAATGCAAAGTGTTGTTATTGTTGTAGTACCCTTCAGCTAAGTTGAAGCTAAAAATACTGGAGAGGTGCCTGGGAACTGAAGAAAAGCAGATGTTACTCCTATTTTAAAAAATGGTAGCAAAAGGGACCCAGGAAACTACAGACCAGTGAGTTTGACGTCCATTGTGGGTAACGTTTTGAGGACTCTTATTAAAAACTAGCTGTACTTGTTGCAGCTACATTTGCAACCAAAAGATCCAATATGGAATGTCGATTGACACACGGACAGACATTTTATCTTTATCTATACTCCCGTGGGGGGACTCCTTTTGGGAGGACTCGGCACTTTAAACATGTAATTTTGTTGTTGCTACGGCTTAGCTTCGTATGTGTTCTTTATTTTGTTCCCATTGCTTAGCTATGTGTGTGCTCTGTGACGCAAGATGCCACAGCGTCACGGTCAGCTGGCGCAGCCACCAGGTGTAACTGCAGTGTATGCGTACATACGTAGGTGCTCTGTGACGCACGATGTTACAGCGTCACTTTGACTTGGCGGCCACCAGGTTTAACTGAAGTGAAAAATGCAAAACTGAAAATAACTCATGAACGATTGGAGATTCCCGAAAACAAATATGCCCATGTCACTTCCAGGGCAAGACCGTTCCGATGAGGTATAAATCATGTCACTATGTCAATTGGTTATTGAGATCCTTCTTGAAGCGCAGACAGATATTGTCATTTTATTAGTATAGACTAGATAAGATCAAGGAGCATCTGGACAGTAAATCAATGATAAAAGATAGCCAATATTGGATTATGAAGAGAAGATCCTTCCAAGCTAATTTACTTGTTTTCTTTGATTGTGTGACAAAGGAGCTTGATAAGGGTAAGGCAGTATATTATAAGGGTAAGGCAGTATATGGATCTCATTAAGACCTTTGGTACAGTTTCTCTTGAAAGGCTGGTACTGAAAACAAAGAAAGTGGGAATCAGAGGAAGTATCTTACAATGATTTGAACATACTTAGTAAGCGAGAAGTAAATAATATGGAACAGGCTCCCAAGGCAGATGGTGGAAGCAGAAAATGTTGATTCTTTCAACAGCAAGAACAACTTACATTTATATAGTGCCCCTCGTGCAGGATAGTGTCTCCGAGTCGGGGGGAGGGGAAAGTGACAGTAGGGATGGTCGAATAGGAAGGTCTTGAGGCGTGACCTGAAAATGGGGAAGGAAGGGAAAAGGCGGAGAGATAGAAGAAGATTGTTCCATAGTTTTGGGGAGTAGTGACTGGAAGCGCGGCCACTTTCAAGAATAAATTAGATAGATTTCTGTTAGAAAATAATATCTCGGGATATAATATATAGTTTGGGACATGTCATGCGACTGCCAGGATGATTGAAGGCAAACTGGATGGCCCTGGTCTTCTGTCATCCAGCAAATTCATACGTTCTTATGAGTTTACTCATCATATAAAATGCATATGACCTGCCTCTTCCTTTCCTCTGTGTCCACTCGCAGGTGAGATGACGGGCACTCAGCTTCACTGTATAGCACCCACTATCTCCCACTCCCATCCATCCTCCCAATGCAACCCATCTCCACCCCACATCTATCAATCAACTCCCAACACTCTGCAACTCCCATGCACAATGGGAAATGTTTTTTACTTTTCTCCTTCATTGTCTCATCTGTCTGACCATTTATATTCCTCACCTTTGTCCCAGAGAAGCAATATACAGCATTATATATCTACAAACTTAATGTAGATACTCACGTATCTACAAACTCAATGTCCTTCTGCACACACAATTTTCAAAACTAGTCATTAAAATTAATTATTAATGAGCATTCTTTCCACACTAATACAGGGAGAAACCATTATCTTAGGCTACTTCGCCTTTCTGCTCAATAACAGGAAATTTTCTTTACATTTCTCTTTCATTATCTCATCCATCTGTACATTTATATTCCTCACCTTTGTCCAGGTGAAGCAATATACAGCATTATTCATGCTGTTCTCGTTATAGAGTTTACACATTTCATTCAAATCTCTCTTGCGATCTTTTATGTTCCAGTCAAAATGTACTATTACTGAATGTGCAAGTGGGTTGTATAACTGCATCAGAACCTTAGAGTTAGGTAGGAGGTACACAAAATTCTCATAGATCACCTCTAGCTCACACACAGCTTTCTTTGCTTGCCATAAGAAATGGCTCTGCACGACTTGTTTTGCTAACTGCTGGCCTACAACAATAAAATGGCTCAGAGCACTTTTTAGTACTTACTGTTAAATGTCATGATTTATTTAAGCATTTTAAAGCAAATGAAGAAGCAGCTTTGTATAAACAATATGGTCAAAACCTCCACAAATTTATCTGTGTGATTGTTGGGGAGGACACCAGGAGAAACTCCCTTCTCTTTTTGAATAGTGTCATGGGGTCTTTAGCTGAGCAGCCTGATAGGGTATGTATATAAAGTCATAGTATATATGAATGAATTAATTCTGAGAGAAAAGTAAAGCGGTTATTTTCTGATTTGGTGTGGGAAGCTGGATTGGATAGGAGGGTTTTAGGCAGTGTTGATTGTCATTATATCTGCTCCAAATTGTTAATAGTGGAGCAGTAATTATTTCCTCTTTAGGGTAAAGTTGTGATTTATGACTGCAGGAACAATTATAGCATCTGTTCATTAGACTATGTGGTGCATTGTGGAGTGAATTTTGTTCTAAACTTGTGGATTTGCTGGTCTGAATTCTATCCTTTGCTCTTCTTCCTAAGTAAAATTAATAACAATCCTTGCATTCAATATAATGCTTTTTATGTCAGGAGGACGTCTCAAAGTGCTTCACAGGATTTACTGTAAAGTTCAGTGTTGATGTATGTTGTACGTGAATGTAACAGCTAATTTGCTCACAGCAATGTCCCACAAACAACAGGAACAACAACCTACATTTATGTAGCACTCCACATGGGGCAGCGTCCCGGAGCAAACAGCAATGAAGTGAATGATCAAGTTCATGGAGTCCTTTAGCTCAGTGGTTAGAGCA